AAAAAGCATAGGAACACATCCTTCCTCTGATCGCAACAATTTTGGACCAGCACCTGTGTTGCTACTATTGCTTCTCGTGTTCCTAAACCTTGCCTAAACCCGAACTGGGAATCACTGATGTCCCATTCACATTTTTTGTATAATCTTTGATGTAGTATTTTTAAGAATATCTTTAAAGTGTGACTCAAGAGGCTAATGAGTCTGTGATCCTCACATCTTTTTGCATTGACTTTCTTGGGCAGGGGAATAAAGGTAGAGCGTAACCACTGTTGAGGATAGCAGCCAGTTTCATAAATTAAATTAAATATTTTGTGTAGTGCTGAAATTCCCCTTTCATCTAGTAAGTATGTAAGTTGAGTATTTCTGACGGGATTTCATCTGGTCCAGATGCCTTATTGTTTTTTGAATTTAATATTGCCTTTTCTATCTCCTCTTTGGTGATTGAAGGGCCAGTCAGCTGGTCGTCTGTATAAACTTCACTCATGGGTCTTTCGTCATGGAAGAGCTCCTGGATATAATTTTCCCATATATCAATTTTCTCCTTTTCACCCAGCACTATCTGGTTATCCTGATTAACTATGGTAGTCGGTCTTCGTTTTCTGTATATTCCAGCAGTCTCCCTAAGCTTTTTATGTAAATTACGGTCATCGTGTTGTCGTTGTAAATGTTCTAGATCGATACATTGTTGCTTAAGCCATTCATTTTTTGCTATTCTTATTTTTGCTTTTATTTGCCTGTTAATGTTTTCATACATATTGCTGCCATCTTGGTCATTCTTGTGTCTTCGTCGTTCTTCCATTAGTAATAGTATTTCTTCTGTCATCCATTTTTGCCTTTTGTTATTTCGTTTGTACCCTAAGTTGTTTTTCATGATATCTGTTACAGCACTTGTAATAAAAGTTTAAAGAGAATTAAAATTTTAAGTTTTTATTTTAAAAATGCAAGAGCTTCGTTTGTCGTACCTATGAGTGTATTACTAATAATTTATAAAAAATCGAATATTACAAAGAAAACATTAATTTTTTGACTAAAACCTGTAATTAGCTCCATCCTTATATAATATTAAACTTTCATTGTAAATTTTGATATTTATCACACATGCAATCCATTCGAATTCCTTTTTAACCAGAATTCAGTTATTTCCGCTCGTGGACACGTGCTACGTAGTGGCGTTGAGTATCAATCGTTGAAAAAATTCAGGAAATGTTTGTGAAACTTTACCATTTGATGTTAAATTTGTACTATTTATATAAAGTATCTTTAATTGAATTTATGTATAGATACGGAGCTGTCTAGTAGGTCATTCACCAAGGAAGATTCCTGAAATAGTATTTTATTATGATTTCTGGAGATTGTTTGAGAATATGGTGCGAACGGCATAAGTATTCATCTACGAGGGGTGTACTGAGTTTCTTCGCTCATATTTGCCGTTATTTTAATACTTCATTGAATTTTCTTTGAAACATATTCAACTGTTAATTCAGAAGAGGACGCTCGACTCAATAAGTTACAACATCATTGGTTACTAATGTATAATTAGCATTTACCAGAAGCAATTCAGTCTCCAGCTTATTTTTAGACATTAAAGAAGCTTATTATGTAGATAATCTAGACATACTAACAGATAAATTATAAGCCATAGGAATTCCAGAAGGTGCTATTGTGAACCTAATGAAATTGTACCGAGATAGAAAAGTGTATCTAAAAATAAATAGAATGATAGGTATGTCCAAATCAACATCAGTTGGATTGCCACAAGGAAGCATGCTAAGTCCATTAGTATTTATGTTATACACTGCGGATGTTACCAGTTCTATTACTAAGGAAACCAGATTACTCCAATAAACGGACGACTTTTGCATTTATACAGAAAATCAGTCGATCGAAGCTTCCATCGATGCATTAAAAAACGCTACGGAAAAAATTATGGAATGGTCACAAAGAAATGGATTCTGCATCTCTCAAGAAAAATCAGTCATGTGTTCATTTGCAAGAAGACGATATCCACCAGCCACCAAATCAAATTAATATAGGAGCATTGACATTTCCATACAAAACATCAGTTAAATACCTTGGCATATTTTTAAATCAGAAACTCTCTTGGAAAGGACATATTCATCATTTGTCAAAAAATGTTAAAACACAATAAATGTACTAAGAGCTTTTAGTCACACAAAGTGGGGAGCAGACCCAAATATATCATCAATCTTCTACAGAGCGCTAATACGTTCAGTGATAGACTATGGATGGATGTATCTTATATGGAAATGCAGGTTTGACTCAACTGGAGATATTGGAAAAAATAAAAAATTAGTGTTTACGACTTTGTCTTGGATGTTTAAAAAGCACCAACAAATATCTTTGTTGCAATCGAAGCAGCAGAGCCTCCTTTGTATCCTAGACGACAATTTTTGTGTGACGTTTTTATGTCAAAACTCCTAGCACAAAAAAGATCAGACAAAAATATAGGAACTCAATTCCAAGATAGATAATTCCTTCTGACGACGTAAAAATCATCCACAACTGATAAACAGTTATCAGAACCTAATTCAGTTTAGTATCGAGTTTTACAGAAATGACATTCTTCCCTCCTATAATTGTGATTAGAACCTATTAACGACCTGCGCAAAAGGCAATAAGAAAAGACATAAGAAACTACAATGTAGAAGAAACAAAACAGGCAATAGAGCAAAATAAGAACATGAAAGTTTTTAAGAGGAGCCTACAAAAGGGGAAAATAGAAATTAACAAACTGAGAAACAGAACTGGAGAAGAAACAACGAACAGAAATGAAATATTAAGAATAGTCGAAGAGTTCTACACAGAGTTATATAGATCAAGAAAAAAAGATAACAATACGGAACCTCCAATTACACTAAAAACTCTGGTATTAAACAAAGGATCAGATTTAATGCCCGATATAACAAAATCAAAGAAGCCCTGAAGAAAATGAAAAATAAATCGAACCCCGGGGGAAGATGGAATAGTATCAGAAGCACTAAAAATTGGAGGGAATGTATTACTTGAAAAAATTAAACAATTTTTCAATATCTGCCTTCACAGCGCCAATATTCCAACAGACTGGAACAACGCTACTATGATTCTATTACACAAAGCAGGAGACAAAGCAAATTTAGAGAATTACAGCTCCATTCTTATCAACCAAGGGAACAGGCAGGATTCTGAAAAAGTTACGGAACAAAAATGATCATCTACAAAGTATAAAAACCCTAATAGAGAAAGCAGTGGATTAGAATAAACCTCTAGTTCTAATATTTATCGATTTTCACAAAGCCTTTGACACAGTTGAGCTAAGCAAAATATTACAGGCGCTTAAACAATGCAGGCTAGATTATAGATATACTAAATTATTATACAAAATATACCTGCAGGCAACAACCATTGTCAGATTACATACTAACAGTAATCGCATAAAAATAGAACGGAGGGTTAGACAAGGAGACCCAATGTCACCTAAACTTTTTAATACGGTGCTAGAACATGCTTTTAAGAATTTGGATTGGATGACAAAGGAAATAAAAATAGATGGAGAGTATCTAAACAACTTACGTTTCGCCGATGATATACTTATAATAGCTGAAGATCTAGGTATGGCAAGTACAGGAACTCGTTGTGGCTACAGAAAATGTAGGTTTTAATATAAATATCTCGAAAACAAAAATCATGACCAATTTGGTACCCAACCAGAACATCAGTATTGGTGGGAAAGAAATAGAACTCGTAGATAGATATAAATACCTGGGACATGAAATTATGATTGACGGGGATAACCAGACTCATGAACTGAAGAGAAGAATCGGCCTTGGGTGGGCAGCATTTGGAAAACTGAAAGAAACTTTTAAAAGTGAGCTGCCCATATGCCTAAAGAGAAAGGTATTTGATCAGTGCGTCCTCCCAGTCTTGACGTACGGAGCAGAAACACTTACCTTAACAAAAGCAGCAGTTACCAAACTGAGAGTCACGCAGAGAAGAATGGAGCGGTCCATGTCAGGAATAACTCTGCGAGACAGAATAACCAACGAAGATATCAGGAGAAGAACCGGAGTGACTGACATCATCGAGAAGATAGCCAGACTAAAATGGAGATGGGCGATGGACAAAGAGGTTATTGGAATGGAGGCCAAGGGAAGACAAGAGAAGCGTCGGTCAACCACCTACAAGATGGACTGATGATTTAAGAAGACTCAATAAAAACTGGTTAAGAACGGCGGAAGATAGACGGGGTTGGAAACATGAGGAAGAGGCCTATGTTCAGCAGTGGACTCTTGAGGCTGGATGATGATGAACGACCTGCGTGTATTAGTGTTAAAAGAATTAAAATAAATTAAAATAAACATAACATTAGGTCCTGATACTGACTTTTTTTTAACACGTTTCTCTTTTTCTACTATTTACCAATTTAAAATACTTGGAAAACAATTCTGCAATGGACTTAGCATTCGATGCTTTTTGACTTTCATATTCCACTATAAAAAATAGTGGTATATCTCCAAAATCTATCTGGTCATAGTATCGCCAAAATTGGAGAGGATCTTCATTAAATTTTTCCTCAACATTCTCAATATATGCTCTGTAACACATTTTTACTTCTTTCTTGGAAATACTCATTAAATTTTTAATTTTTCGTAGTCTAGACCTTTGTAGCCATGTTCCATCATTTAAGATGGTGTTACATTTCTTTGGTAAATCGTATAAAATATTCCCTATTTATATTTCTTTTCTTAGAATTGATATAGTTTCTTATATCTTTGCATTATTGGTAGGTATCAGTTAATTATTGGTTAGGTTAGGTTTCCTCTTCTCGAATACTAAATCTTTGATTTCGCTGTTGAAACATGGCTTTGATATTTTTGTTGTGTTAAAGTTAATTTTACCAGATTTCTATACTTTCTTATATATTATTAAGGCAGCTTATTACATTAGGTATCTAAGATCATTTGTATATATTCAACCACTAATTTGTTTCAATTTACACTTACCGCTCTTAGTTCCCTCTGTGAAAATAACCGAGGAAGTTGCGCTCTTAGTGGCACCAAAAGAACCAAGAAGAATGGAAAACCTAACGAGGCTCTTGTAGACTTAACGATCCATAAAATTACTAAACACGCTAGTTGGATAAGCGTGAACAGATGCATCTTCATAGTTCTGACCTAGAACAAAAAAGAAAAAAATATATTACTGAAAAATTAGAGGATCTAAATATTTACAATGGATTAATGGAAGGTAATATGAACAGAAAACGTTAAATAATAAAAATGAAACAAGAAAATACAAATCCCTAAATAGTAGCCGTCAAGAATTAAAGCCTAATACAAACTCAGTTCTTAATAAACGGACACAACATTTCAGCGATCATCTCAATTTAAATTATATTGGAGATGGCGACATCATCATCATCATCATCATCATTCCTCAACCTCTTGCATCCACTGTTGGATATAGGTCTCCTCTATGTTCTTCCACTGTTCTCTATCTTGCGCCTTCTGTATCCAATTTCCGACTGTTTTTCTCAAGTCGTCCATCCATCTTTTTGGTGGTCTGCCTCGGTGTCTTTGGTCTTCTCTAGGTCTCTATTTGGTACCATATCTCTTCTAGTTATTCCCAACATTGCTCCATTTTTCTTTGGGTTATTCTCAATTTATTTGCAGAATGTTTGGTTAAAGTTATTGTTTCGGAACCATATGTTATTACTGGCAGTATGGCGACATCATTTATAAAACCAACTAAATATACATCAGCAACTACAAATTGAAGCACCAACAAGAGAATAATTCTGAATCCTGCAGACCTATCTCACTACTCAGCACCCTAGGTAAAGTCTACGAGAGGATCTTAAATGAGAGACTCGTAGAATTCCTAGAGGCACATCTTCTCATCCTCCACAAACCAATTTGGATTCAGAGCTGAACACTCCGCACAAAATGCACTGATTGAAGCACCAACATTCTTATCATAAGCCCTCAATGAAACAAATAGATACGCCATAGGCATCTTCCTTGATATCCAGAAGGCTTTCGATCAGGTTTGGCACACAGGCCTGATCAAAAAGCTCCGTCGTACTGGACTGTCTAACCCCTCCGTAAAAATCATTCACTCCTATCTCTCCAATCGGGCAATCCGTGTCAAAGTCGCTAACACGCTATCAACAACATTCACTCCACAAGTTTGAGTCCCTCAGAACTCAATTCTAGCACCAATATTATATATTGTCTACAACAGTATTATTATTTGCTGATGATACTGCACTCCTCTCTGCAGGAACACATAGAAAGACGCTGAGACAGCCGTGTGTGTTCGATAGAGCACAGGACCAGCTGAACAGAATTGTCAGGTGGTGCAACAAATGAAGAGTCACATTTAATGCTGGGAGGAACCAGATAGTCATCCAAAGAGAAGCTCCTAATTACAGAAACTCGGTGTCCTACTTGGGAGGTCATTTTAGCAAGATTTTCAACTGGGACATTGACATCAAAGGCACCCTAGATAGGGTAAAAATAACAGCTAGACTCCTGGGAGTACAGTCTGGAAAATTTGGAAATACCTCTAATAAAACTCTCTTGCACACCTACAAGACCTTTATTAGGACTATCGTCGAATACAAAGCGTGTGTCTACGCGTCATTAAATCCTCGTCAAACTAACGCCATTATGGCAACTGAGGGGAAAATTCTCAGAAAATTCATGAGGAAACGTGCACATTATCCGTCAGCACTATTCACCAAATTGCCAATATAACATCAATAAAGGATAAAGTTCGATATCTCAGCAAAAGATACGTCCTCCGCATAATAACTGGCTCCAACAACCCAGCTAAGCAAATTTTAAAGACCTCCTGTCACCGTCGAGGGCACATACTCATCAGGTTCCCCCTAACAAAAGTTCCATTTACTCCAACCAAGCTTCTACAATTCCCTGGCAACGAACTTCTTGATGAGTACTACGATATCCCAGAAGCAACTCCTATCAAACATCACAGATAAATTAACTGAACGTCAAAACCGCTAATTAAGACCCTTTCTAGTATGGCTGGTAACGCTGAACGTACCTTCTGCTCACGGCTTGGTTGGCTAGTCTAAATACTCTCTCATAGCGCTCCTTTTCTACATCACCACCATCTAAGTCCCCGTTCTATAGCCGCATACCACTCCAACAACACTACTCGCAACTCGCAACTAAATATTTCAGTATAATGAGTTGGGTTGATATATTGACGAGTTGAGTTATTTGTGCGAATAGATAATTATTCGCACGAATTTTAATTAATTTTAAACGCAATATATTTAAATTCAATATAAAAGCAATGGTTTTTATAAAAACTAAAATTATTCAGTGCAGAGTCAAATCCGGAAAACCACAGAAATCACATATAGTTACCGCGGAAACCTCAAATCCTATATAAATATATGGATCAATATTAGTGTTAAAATTCTATTTTGCTGCTTAACAATTTTATCATTAAACAACATTAATTTTAACTACAGATGTTTAAAATTGTCGCCTTGGACATCTTGGCAACATTCTAATCTTGTAAAAAGTTAAATTGTGTTTTTTAACATATTTGGTGTGTCCAACCTAATCGCCAGCGTTATTATTTTTCTTAATTCAGCTAAATTTAATGGTTTAGTTTTATATGTAAATCTGAAGAAAAGCACAGAGAAGTAAAATATGATAAAGCGCTATAGAGGAACTACAAATGATAATGAATATCGTTAAGAAGAGAGTGGAAGAGAAATACGGACTTCATATCAACATCGCAATGATCAAGTTTATAATATGTATACCATATGAAAGCTCAGTTAAAAATAAATAATCGCTCCATAGAACTGATTGAAAAATTTTAGTACCTTGAACAGCAAATGGAACTACGACGATGAGAATAAGAATAGCAATGGCTAGAATTGCCTTCGTTAGATTTAATAACTTAGAAAACGTGAGAGAATTATACAAAATAGATTAAATCAAAAGTTGGAAAATAAACAATTTAATAATAATGAAGAACATTACACTCACATAATAAGAGGCAGCAACAGAAGTCATTGGATACCAAATCCAGAATCAAAGAAAACTTCCATATTGGTTTGACGAAGAAATAGAACAAGAAATAAAGAAGAAAAGAGATACAAGGAGTCTTAAGCTAAAGTACGAAAAATGATATGTCGGAAGAAAAATGCTGCATGGCAACAAAAGTGTAACATGATAAATTCACATCTAGGAGGACGAAGAAGCACAGACAGTTGGAGAGTCTTAATATATTTACAAGATAAGAAGAGAGACATAGTGTCAACAATAACAATGGATGACTGAGACCAATATTTTGAGAAACTCCTAAAGTAAGATAGACCATAATTTAAAGACAGCAACGAAATGTCCATTATACACAAAAAAAGGCAGAAGGGATAAATGTAACAATTACAGAGCTATTGCTGTGACAAACTTAGTCAGTAGAATATAAGGAAAAGTAATTAAAAACAGAATAGAAAGCGAATATAAAGACTTAGAGGCTGAGGAACAGGCAGGATTTAGAGCAGGTAGATCTACCGTTGACCATTTGTTTTGCATTACACAGATTATTGAAAAGAAAATAGCCGTTAATCAAGAAGTACATTTATTGTATGTAGACCTACGAAATGTTTATGATAGCGTACCAAATTATCAATTATGGAAAGCGTTAGAGAAAACAAACATAAGCGCGAATTTAATAAATGCGACGAAGGAACTATACGCTAATGCTAACTCAAAGGTAAAGGATAAAAAACATCTGTCAAGTGGATTCCAAATGATCAAAGGCCTTAAGCAGGGCTGCTGTCTCTCACGCAAGAAGTTATCAAACATTGCAACACATATAAATATTTAGGTATGATCATCACAGAAGAAGGCAACGTAGACGACCAAATTGAGGAGAAAAACAACCAAGCCAGAAAAGCAATTTCCCTTCTCAATAGTATCCTTTGGCAACTGGGTATCGGAAGACATCAGAGAACCTATTTAAACCGTTTTAAACTGATCTATACATAGATTTAATAACTATCTACTGTGGCGTGATGTTCCTTTAAACCCATTCGGATGTACGTAAGTGAAATCTGGTTTACCTATGAACCTATGATCTATTTAACCTACGAAGGCACAATGTATTTATAGATTTTGAAAAAGCTTCGATGGAGTTCATAGACACAAGCTATTAGAACAATAAAAAGATGTTTAAAGCTATGTCTGGGTGAATTATCAAATATATAACCTAATAACAGAAGAAGAAGAAGGCCTATGTCTAAAGCTGAATAAAGGTTAAAAGATAAGTACCTAGTCATTTTTGTGTTATATTATACCAAAAGTCTTTATTAATTAAAATATAAAACGCTATATTATTTTGAATTCCTTTTTTATTTGGCTAATTGCTCATTAAATAGCAGACACATAAATCCTCCGAAGGTATTTAAATTTCTCTAAGTAATTACTGTGCCCTACGAAGCTTTCACATTTTAAATTAAAAAGAAAGTCATATTCTCATATCTTAATCCTAATGCCATGTCATTCGATAGCACTCGCAGACGCAAGAAAAATAAAAGCAACTGGTTCTTATCAAGTTTCCTTTTTAATCTTTTTTATCCCTAAAACCAACTCTGGCTTATCGATTGGCCCAATAAGCACAACATGTACCCAATTCGCACCCCCAGTTTAAAAGAAAGCGCACAAATATCGACCTTAAAACAAAGTAAATTGTGCACATGCTTCCTATACTGCAACACCGTCCATGAAACCGACAAACTCGTACGGTGTTCTCTTGCGGGGTTGCCAAGCCGTTTCAAAATCTATGAATATGCAATAAGTAGGTTAGTCGGAAAATCGCTTCTGACTCATTGCATTTTCTATGATTGGGATAGTTTCCAATAAACACGATATTTTTATTACTTTAGAATCTTGAACATTGATACACTATAGACTTATTATTACCTGGCGTAGATAATACTCAGCTGCCATACACCTTATAAATAAAAGCAGGTTTACCTGTTATTACATAAAATGTATTTTAAACTTTCAGTATTTAAATAATACTCAACTTAAAAGCTATTTTGACATTTTCGTACACAAAATATTGATATCTCGTCGCATTTGCTGTTCCGTAATTCGGGTTTTTACCTCCATCAGACAGATTT